ATATGACAACTTTGATTATCATAGTGAAAAGCTGATGCTGCTAATAAATGGTGCTTGTTGAGGATGCTAATGCTTTTGATTTGGAAACTTCAACTGTTTGGTCTTTGAAGCCTTTCGCTGACGTTGGCAGATGTGATCGACATTTGTTTTCCTCCTTCTTATAGCTAAACAGCTACTTCACCCGTTCGTAATTGTGGTTTCAAAATGGTCACAGATGATCTTAAATAAGGCTGGACAAGAAATTTTGTTTCTCAGATCCAATTTTAGTTGATTGCTCAAGCGTTTACTGTCAAAGTAACAGAATAACTGTTGAAATCCAGTTTAAAAATAATTGCACTTAATTTATTGATCATAATTAAGTCTTTTCTACGCACTGTTTAGGTTTTATTATTATTATTATTATTGTTATTATTATTATTACTGTTATTGTCATTATTAATATTACTAGTCCTATGCCTTTTTCCTCCTGGTTGTTTAGGTCTCCCACCTATTCAAAAAATCAGTACGTAAAAGGGTTTTCACATTTAGGTTTTGGCATTTAAATGGCTTGTAGTAAATAGATATTCTAATTTTAAATTTTTTGCTTTTGAGAATTCGTCAGTTTTACTATACTGAATGTCGTTTATATAGGACATTTTTTGACGATTTTTAGTGTGTGAAATTTTATTCTTTACTAAAATGCAGTCTTGAAAAGTTTAAATCTAAAATGTCTGTCTCGGTGTGTGGTATTTTTTGGTCGCTTTCAACTGCTATTGTTTTTGTACCATCTTATTTTTAGTAGCTAAGAAGTCGGTGTTTTCGTATTTGTTTTTAACCATTTAGTGCGCAAATCCAAATTGATTTGAGTTACATAGATCTAAATTAAAAATTTTTTTTTGGTTTGCACGAAAGTTTTTATACTATTTTTGGAGATCAAAAGCAAAGATTCATTTAGCGGGGTTTTATTTAGATATAACCGGAAGGTAGAAGAGATCTATACGAAACTTAAAAACTTAGCGCCTTGCAAAGAGGCTATAAAGCAGGAAATACTAGAGAGAATTTTTTTCGTTAATTATTAATTTATTGAATTACTAAGGCAAAAATATTGAAGAAGAGTTAGATGTTGAAGAGATGGAAATTAAAAGAGGATGTTATTGCCGGAGATTCGAACTGAAAATGACCTCTTTATTTATCAAATTTTGACAGAATTGTTTCTCTTAGCTTAAATTTGAAACTATTCATTTTTTTTTTTTTATTTAATCTACCTATCTTTTTTTTCTCTCTGAAATCATTTTTAAGCTCTAAAATAGTGCATAGACAAATAAAAGTAGCAATTAGAGTCTGAGGTGGTGGTGACTGTGGGAGCAAAAATTCAGTAATGTTTAGTGCCATACGTCACAGGCTGCAGTTGGTACTGAAATTCAAGTGCTTGAAATCAAGTCTGATTTTTGCAGTTAGCATTCTCGTCTGGCAGTTTCAAATAAGATTCTAACATTCTAAACATGAAAGAATATTATAATAGAAAAAAAATTTAGTTTTCTTTTTTCAAAATTTTTTGCTACGTTCTATAAAATAACCTTTCATTGCATTTCGTTGCCCTCTTCTTCAGCTGCATAGCACTTGCTTTAAATGTCCCTTCTCTTCTTCATTTCCGATTAACTTTTAAAAAAGAATAGACTTATAAAATTCGATAGTTTACGACTTTTGATTTACTCCAATTGTTGAACTTTGCGAATCTAAGTCTTATGTCTTATTGCATTTGTTTATTAAGCTATATATAAACAAGTAAATATATGTATGTATATATTTATATACAAAAACCGCAACTAAAATTGCTTATAAAACAGGAAGCATTTTGAATATATAATTTCTATTGATTTTTTATGAATTTTGTTTTAGTTTATTTTGTAAACTGAGCTGCATATTTGCTAATAAAATTTTGTTTAATGTAATTTTGTTTTAAAATGTCAAAAAGTAAAGATGAAGAAGGAGAAGAAGGA